GGGGTGTTCTCACGACCACTTGAAGGACACCCCATGGGCTCGCCGATCATCCCTTGCGTCCAATTCGGATTCTCATCGACCGTCCACGAAGCCGATCTACCGTACAATTACAATGAAACGCGTGCTATTTGCAAGGCGTGGGAGGAACGTCATGACCTTCACTGTCGTCGCAAGTTGCCCACGCGATCCATACAAGGGACGTGCCAGCACCCCCTTTTCGTAACTGTACCGAAAGATCGCATGGCCGTTTGGCCAATCCGCATGCAGGCCGACAAGTGCAACATGGATCGACTAAGATCTACGACCAACTAATCTCGTGGTACGTGCTCTGCAGGCTACATGACAACACATGCACAACGGTCAACTCTCGTGTCTCGTCATTGGTTTACTTGGGGCCAATCATGTCTTCGGGGCGGACGTAGCGGTCAAACTCGTCGGCCGTGAGCAAGCCGAGCTCGACGACCGCTTCCTTGAGCGTCGTGCCCTCCTTATGGGCCTTCTTGGCGACCTTGGACGCGTTGTCGTAGCCAATGTGCGAGTTGAGCGCCGTCACAAGCATGAGCGAGTTCTTCATGAGGCGGTCGATCGTGTCGAGGTTGGCTTCAATGCCGACGACGCAGTTGTCCGTGAACGCGCTGCAGCTGTCGCCAATGAGGCGCACGGACAATCAAGTTGGAGATCATCACGGGCTTGAAGACGTTGAGCTCAAAGTGGCCGTTCGAGCCGCCGACCGTGACCGCGACGTGGTTGCCAATGACCTGCGCGCACACCATCGTGATGGCTTCGCACTGCGTCGGGTTGACCTTGCCAGGCATGATGCTCGAACCCGGCTCGTTCGCGGGCAAGTTGAGCTCGCCGAGACCCGAGCGCGGGCCCGAGCCGAGGAAGCGGATGTCGTTCGCGATCTTCATGAGCGAGCACGCAATCGTGTTCATAGCACCGCTGGCCTCGACGACCGCGTCGTTGGCCGCGAGCGCCTCAAACTTGTTGGGCGCCGTCACGAACGGGAAGCCCGTCTCGGCCGCGATGATGGCCGCGATCTCCTTGTCGTAGCCCTTGGTCGTGTTGAGGCCCGTGCCGACCGCCGTACCGCCGAGCGCCAGCTTGTACAAGTTGGGGAGGACATCCTCGACGCGCTTGATCGAGTACGCGATCTGCTCGCGGTAGCCCGAGAACTCTTGGCCGAGCGTGAGCGGCGTCGCGTCCTGCGTGTGCGTGCGGCCAATCTTGATGATGCCATCAAACTCCTTGACCTTGGCGTCGAGCGCATCGTGGAGCTTGCGGAGGCCCGGGAGGAGCACGCGGTGGATCTCCATGACCGCCGCAATGTGCATTGCGGTCGGGAACGAGTCGTTCGACGACTGGCCCATGTTGACGTGGTCGTTCGGGTGCACCGGCTTCTTGGAGCCGAGCTCGCCGCCCATGTACTCGATCGCGCGGTTGGAAATCACCTCGTTCGTGTTCATGTTGGACTGCGTGCCCGAGCCCGTCTGGAAGACGACGAGCGGGAAGTGGTCGTCGAGCTTGCCCGAGATGACATCGTCGGCGGCCTTGATGATGTTCTCAGCGACGGCCGGCTCGAGCTTGCCGAGCTTGAGGTTGTACTTGGCCGCACACTTCTTGACAATGCCCATGGCCTTGATGACCGGCATCGGCATGCGCTCGCGGCCACCGCCGATGGGGAAGTTCTGCAGCGAGCGCTGCGTCTGCGCGCCCCAGTACTTGGAGGCGTCGACGTCAATGGCGCCGATCGAGTCGGTCTCCGAGCGCACGGAGCTGGCGAAGCGGGCGTACGCCGGGGCGCGGAACGAGCGGGTCAAAGCGCGGGTGCTGAGCATCTTGCAAAATGGCCGTCTTCCTTCACCGCCCTTCGCCCCTCGTTGCCGCCAGCCAATGGCCTTGCGCCGTGCGCATCATTGGGCGCCGATATTTTAAACTGGATCGTTGTATACAAGAAAAAGGGGGGATACGTATACAGTAGATTCGACGTGGGTGCGCCGACCGAGCATTGATGCGCTTGCGAGTTGAGCCGGGCTGGCGAGGACGATATTGTGCACACAATGCAATGTAAACATGGATTGGGCTCTCCAGTGGCGGCATCCTCGCCTTCAGGTACCGCTGTGCGGGAGGTGGTTGCTAAAAAACGTGTCACCTTGCACTTGCGGGCGGGGTTAGGGCAACCTCGGGGTTATTGCCACGACGGCTTTGGTGTATCGTCTGGCGATCTCTGGATGCTCGTCCTTTGTGTAGCTCGCTACACATAAAGAGGTCCATTGATTCTCGCAAGCGGCTTGCTTCAAGATCGACTGTAGTCATAGGAGTGGACTGAACGAGGTAGTACAAGTAGACTATTCGATGGACTCGGCAAGCCGATCTTGTTGTCGCTGCTGGTGTATTACAACTCCAAGCTCGGAGCTCGATCGTGACCAGGATTTGGGCTGGCAAAACCATTAACGTCAGACGATTTTCGTTTCGATGGATCGCTGGAGTGTGGGCGGTAGTAGACGTCGCTATGAGAGCGCTCATGCGTGGCTACGGTCAAGAGTGCACAAGTCCTCGTGCCATCTGCACGTAGCAGGCAATGGGCACAACCTCGAGATGGAAAACGGATGGGATTTCCACTTCACAAGCACCCCCATCACGCGTCCCCATGTCCATACTACGTTACGCCGCTCAAGACTTGATATCGATTGCAAAAGTTGATTAGTAGCATTATATGATAACGCTATAAGTTCGCAACGGCCTCGCCGAGCCGCTACTAGAGAAGATTCATGCGGGCCTCTATCAACTGGACGTTGCACGGCTCTTCGTTGAGGCGGCGCTGGGTCACGCTGCGAACGAGATCCGTGGGCTTGGCGTCGCTCATGACGCGGAATGCGTCGCGAAACCACTCGGCCCCAACGAGTTGGACGCGGTCGTCGACGAACTGGCGCCGCACGCTGTTTGTTGTGATGACGTAGAGGCGGTTCGTGCTTGGGTCTGCGCCGGTGTCCCCGAGCGGCCCGTCAGTCGTCGTGAAGAGCTGCACGGCGAACGACTTGTTGTCGACGTGCACCCAGACGTGGTCGCGCACGGCATGGCTGCGCGTCGCTGCAGGCACGAGCGCCATCGGGGTACCAATGGTGCTGGGAACGACGTGCGTGCATCGCCGCGGTCATGCGCCCGATGATCGCGCCGCTGCCCATGATGCACCGCGCGAGGTGCCTCACAATGGTCGAGGCTCGAGAGCCGCGACTACGCGTCTTAACTCGGAGCGAGCTCGACCATGTAGAAGTGGCGCTTCACCACGTGGAAGCGCAGCGCCGTGTCAGCGCTGTTAGTAGATGTGACCAGCTAGTCTTCTGGAAGGTTGGCCAGCAGTGCGACCCCGCGCGGCTGGAGCGATGCGAGGCCGCGGGGGGAGCCAGCGGCGGTGGTAGCTGCCGGCACGACCGCGCGCATGTTTGGGTCGGCGAAGAAGATGCGATGGCAGACGATCAAAAGCAAAAGTGAAGTGGGCTTGCTGGCCGAGGGAGCGTCGTCCAATACGAATTTATCGTGTCCACATACAAATTACAACTACACTGCACGTTAAAATATCACCGCCCAGCCACCTCCAACTTGGAGGCACCGGTTTGTTGTCACTTGGAGGCTCCAAGTGACGACAAGCCGGTAAGAAAGTCGTCCAGGAACGCAGACGCTGAAGCGCCAATTTACCTCTGGTGACGTCGTGAACGCTTGTGCGAGACTCGAGACGTTGGCCCTTATAAAGGTAGAGAGTGCCAAGCGGACTGCATGACCAGAGGTAGGTGGAGTAAGGCGACCGTCCCAGTCGTTGCAGCATTGGCCTGGCCGATCGGATGTGGTCGCCACCCAGTGATCGGCACCCAGAGATGCTTGCGCTGTTGGGGTTGGACCACTTAGCTAGGAGCTGGCGACACTCCTTTGCTTTAACACTGTAAAGACATTCTTCATGCGCACATCAACTCTAGAGCTCGTACATTTGTATGCCCGGCAGTACGGTACCGGTAGGAGGACGCGACCTGCACATCGAATGTCATGAGATTTGATCGCGCGTGTGGCCCACCCTCAACCATAATCCTCCACCGTCGCATAGCTATTCGCCTATCTAGCATACGCGGCTCCGCTAGAACCGTCACGCTTGTTATTATTGCATGGTGCATCGAGCAGCATATTGAGTGCATTCTTTCAAGTAGCTTCCTAGCAGCTTAGAGCACCAGGCCGAGCACGAGAGCGACAACCAGCACGAGAAGCGCGACGCTGATCCCGAGTACGATCCACGTCGTGCGCGCGACGGGGCGCAGCGCGGCGTGCAGCAGTCGCTGGCGCGTCGGCGTGTATGGTGGGTAGCGCTGCACCACGTCAAAGTAGCTCGACTTGTACAACACGCACTTGGGCTGCGAAAACAGGGCTGCAAAGCGGTGGAGGTGGCGACTCGTCTCCTGCACGACCGTGTCGTTGACGCACATGGCACCGGCGATCGCGTTCGCCACCACAAGCTGCTTGACATGGCGGCTCTGCGTAAACAGGTAGAGAGCGCGCGGCGTCGGGTAGGCTCGGAGACGTGCAAGCACCTGGTCGAGGTCGTTGTAGTAGGCCACAAGCAAAAGCGGCCCGGCAGTCGGCCCGACCGCTTGCATGCACGCACTCGTCTCAAACGCCCGCGTGTCGTCCATAAAGTCAAAGACCGACGGCGCGTAGAAGCGCTCGGCGCGGTCGCAAGCGCCGCCGTGCACGAGGAACGGCCGGTCGGCTTCAAAGAGCCGGTCGAGCCGGTCAAACTGCGCGTCGTTGACCAGGCGACCGAAAAAGCCCGAGGCTTCGGGCACCGCGCCAAAGGCAGTGACGATGGCGTCGCGGAGGGCCGCCACAAACACGGGGCCAATCGAAGCGTCCACGAGGATGTAGTCGGGTCGAGAGAGGCACTGCCCGGCGTGGAGAAACGCGCCCCAGACCAACCGGCGCGCGGTCGTCTCGAGGTGCGTATCGGAGTGGACAATGGCGGGCGACTTGCCGCCGTGTCCGAGCATCTATTTCCATCGACGAGCATGAGTATTTTAAAGGAAAGAGAAAGACGTCTCCTACCACGGGAGTCAGCGTCTCGGCGGCGCCCTTGGCGATCATTCTCTGCTCCATGGCGTCGACTAGAGGTAGCGAGGCATGAGGTTACCGCAATGATTTAGACACGAAGTGACGGACCGCCATCGCAGAGCACCAGATCCATCGCGTGCGTGAGCAGGACGCTCGTCGTCGCGAGGCCACCTGAGACGTAGCGCACGACACTCGGGTCGAGGTACTTGTCGACGAGAAACGCCAGAGCCGCGTTCGTGTGGTCGGTCGTCCCGTCCAGCGGCAGTCGCAGCAGCGCACAGTTGCCGGCGGCAAGGCACGCGACAAGCGGCAACAGCATCGACGCAATCGGACTACGCCACGTGCCGAAAAGGCAGCAAATGCCAAGCGGGTCCTTGCACACGTACGACGACCCGGGCATGTTGAAGAAATTGGTGCTCACGCGGCGCGGCGCGGCCCAGGACGCGAGGTGGTCCAGGTGGTCTTGGATCGTGCTGAGGAAGGCCGCGACTTGGGTCAGAAAGACCTCGTTCGGGTGCAGGTGCAGATCCGCGAGCAGCGCGTTTTGCAACGTTACGAGGCCGTCCGTAAGGAGCAGGCGGAGTTGCTGGAGCTGGGCCCGGCGCGCCGCCAACGGCCGCGTGAGCCCCGCATGGAAAGAGAGGCGCAGCGTCGCAAAATTCGCGTCCATGGCGTCGGTTGTCGTTGGCACCAGCAGCGGTGGCGCGTACCCACCCGGGATGAGCGCGGCTTGCATCGGAAACTCGGTCGCTTCGGTCGTGCGCAACATGGGTCGAATCGAATTGTGACAAGATCCAACGTCGGTGTCGGTGCCGTCATAGAGCTGTGATTGGCTGAAAAATAGAACCGTTCGATCTTTCTTGCAAGATCGCCACGTTGGCGATGCGCCCGTTGACACTTGTACTGCAGGCATGCACGCAATCACGCCACGCGGCAACGGCCTTTTCCGTGGCCACGTCGCGTTGCTGGCTGGGACGTTGCGTCTGCGACGGCGCGCGCACTTACAATGTCTCGCACAAGCGCGGCGCAGGCGACTTACAACTTCTCCATCACCACGCAATCACTTATGCAATTTCAACAGAACACTAGACTCTACGCAGCCAAAACCTTGCGGCGCCAAACGAGCGCGAGCACAAGGCCGACGACACCGACCGAGAGTGCACGCTGCAGCGCCTTGACCCATGCACGCGGAGCCGGGTACATCACAAGGCCAAAGAGCTGGCGCGCAAAAGGCGTGTACGGCTGGTAGCGCTGCGCAATGTCCAGAATAAAGTGCTTGTACAGCACCGACTTGGCGTGGCTAAAGACCTCAAACGACTTGTGGCCGTGGTACGCGCCCATGCCAGAGTTGCCGACTCCGCCAAACGGCAGACTCGGGTTTAAAATCTGCACCATCGTGTCGTTTACGCAGACGCTGCCAGACGTTGTGTTGGAAAGCACTAGCTCTTGGAACGCGCTCTTCTTGCTAAAGACGTAGAGCGCGAGTGGCTTGGGCTGACCCGCACGTGGCCAATGACCGCGTTGACGTCTGTGTAGTAACAGATGGGCAAAAGCGGGCCAAAGAGCTCGCCTTCCATGCTCGCGCTCGACGCAAATGTCGCATAGTCCGACTCGAAGTTGAAGATCGTCGGGCCAAAAAACCGATCCGATGCGTCCGACTGCCCGCCGTGCACTGCAAACGCCTTGTCGGCTTCGTAAATGCGGCAAATACGATCAAACTGCGCGCTGTTGACGAGGCGGCCGTACGAGTCGGAGGCTTGCGGGTCTGCGCCAAAAAAGTCGACGGCCGCTTGCTTCATGGCGGCGACGAGCGCAGGCCCAATGGACGCGTGGACAAAAATGTAGTCGGGGCGGACGCAGGTCTGGCCGGCGTTGGTAAAGGCGCCCCAGACGAGACGCCGGGCGGTCACGAGCAAGTCAATGGACGCATCGATGATCGCTGGCGACTTGCCTCCGAGTTCGAGAATCTAATCGGATCACGCGTTCGTCAACGATCCAGCTGGGACGCAAAGGTATGCGGCAGGGTCAACGTACCACGGGCGTCAACGTCTCGGCGGCCGCGCGGGCGACGATCTTGCCGATGGTGCAGCCTACACTCCATTTGGATCCATCGTCTCGCTTCAAAGTGGACAAGTTGGCATACCACCGGTGCAAAAGATCAGGTCAAACTTTTCCTGGAGGAGCGCCTTGTTGGCATCAATGCCACCATTGACGTAGCGCAGCACGTTGCGGTCCATGTACTTGTCCAAGAGATGCGCGAGCGCGGCCGCGACGTTGTCGCAGCTGCCGTCGGTCGGGAGGCGGACGAGCGCGACGTTGCCGGCACTGAGGCACCCGATGAGCGGCATGAGGAGGAGCATGATGGGGTAGTTCCACGTGTCAAAGATGCAGCAGACGCCGAGCGGGTCGCTGCGAATGAAAGACGACCCAGGGACGTTGAGGAGGTTGGTGCTCACGCGCTTGGGCGCCGCCCACTCGTCCATCGAATCCAAATGCTCTTGGATCTCGAGGAGCGCGACCGACGTCTCGGTCACATACGTCTCGGTCGCGTGCTTGTGCAAGTCGGCCCAGATCGCCGATTGGAGCAGCTCGCAACCCTCGGTGAGGAGTGTTTGGAGCTGGATCAGGGCCGCTTTGCGCGCGGCCAGCGGACGCATTGCGCCGTTGCGGAACGCAGTTCGCAGCGCTGCCACGTGGTCTTGGATCGTCGCCGCCGCCATGGGCGTAAGCAGCGGCAGCGTCGGCTTGGCAGAAACGATGGTCATCGTAGAAAGATCAAAAACTGGAAGTGCTCGACCAGTTGGCGCCAGCAAATGTTCAGATACTGATCCGCTGCGATGGATGATGCGGCGGCGGCGAAATACTCATCAAACTACCGACGACGAATCGGCAGGTTGCGCAGTCATGGGTACATGTAGTCGATCGCCCGGCTTTGCTAATAACTATACTTGGTCCGATGCAAATACTCATGCAGCAGCTCATGCAGCATTGGCACAGTCGACAGACGAAGCGAGGTGGACGAACACATGGCGGGAATTGGCCCGATATCGGCACGTCGTCCGAGCGATGGAGTGCTGTCAACTCCTTTCAGACGATGATGAATCTCTCGTGCTCCTCGACACTCCCTTGACGCAACGCAACAGGCGACAGTCGCGTTCCGATCCAGACTTTCGCTTCGAACCATCGTCCGCATCAACCATCTGCTTGCGGATGCGCGAGTGAGATTAACAACTCGATCTTTCTCAGTCCACCACGCACGCGCACGCGCCATCAGCGATGGCTTTCATAGCATAGTACGGCGGTCATCTATCTAATAATGTAGTCTGTCAGAGGGTCGAACACAGACAAATCCTTGTGGTTTCAAAATCAGAGGACAAATCCACTTGGTTTCAAAATTTGTGATTTTTAAAATCGGCTTGTCAGCACTTGCAAATGCACGAAACGTCGCAGGACGCAGCGAGGCAAACCAAACACACGAAACGTCGCAGGACGCAGCGAGGCAAACCAAACACACACGTTTGTACTTTTGTGTGTTGCAATGCACTCCAATTCAAAGACACTTAGGCGTACACGATAGCAAGCACGATGCCGACCAGCGCGACAAGCGTAAAAAAGGCCGACGCGCGCACCCACGAGCGGGGAATCGGGTACAAGGCCGCCCCGAGGAGCTGGCGCGCAAAGGGCGTGTACGGCTGGTAGCGCTGCGCAATGTCCAGAATAAAGTGCTTGTACAGCACCGACTTGGCGTGGCTAAAGACCTCGAACGACTTGTGGCCGTGGTACGCGCCCATGCCAGAGTTGCCGACTCCGCCAAACGGCAGGCTCGGGTTGGAGATCTGCACCATCGTGTCGTTCACGCAGACGCTGCCCGACGTCGTGTGGCTCAAAATGTGCTGCACAAAGCCATTCGACTTGCTGAAAACGTAGAGTGCGAGTGGCTTGGGCTGAGCGTTGATGTGGTCGAGGACCGCGTTGACGTCTGTGTAGTAACAGATGGGCAAAAGCGGGCCAAAGAGCTCGCCTTCCATGCTCGCGCTCGACGCAAATGTCGCATAGTCCGATTCGAAGTTGAAGATCGTCGGGCCAAAAAACCGATCCGATGCGTCCGACTGCCCGCCGTGCACTGCAAACGTCTTGTCGGCTTCGTAAATGCGGCGAATACGATCAAACTGCGCGCTGTTGACGAGGCGGCCGTACGAGTCGGAGGCTTGCGGGTCTGCGCCAAAAAAGTCGACGGCCGCTTGCTTCATGGCGGCGACGAGCGCAGGCCCAATGGACGCGTGGACAAAAATGTAGTCGGGGCGGACGCAGGTCTGGCCGGCGTTGGTAAAGGCGCCCCAGACGAGACGCCGGGCGGTCACGAGCAAGTCAATGGACGCATCGATGATCGCTGGCGACTTGCCACCGAGTTCGAGAATCTAATCGGATCACGCGTTCGTCAACGATCCAGCTGGGACGCAAAGGTATGCGGCAGGGTCAACGTACCACGGGCGTCAACGTCTCGGCGGCCGCGCGGGCGACGATTTTGCCGATGGTGCAGCCTACAACGTCGCAGTATCAGTGGCCACACCCATAATCGTGCAAGAGTCAGACCGCCAGTGCAAAAGATCAGGTCAAACTTCTGTGCGAGCATAGCCTTGTTCGCGTCAATGCCTCCGGCCACGTAGCGCACGACGTTCGGGTCCATGTACTTGTCGACAAGGTACGCGAGCGCGGCCGCCACGTGGTCGCTCGACCCTTCTGCGGGGAGGCGCAGGACGGCGCAGTTGCCGGCGCTGATGCAGCCCACAAGTGGCAGCAAGAGAAGCTGGACCGGGTAGTTCCACGTGCCCATGATGCAGCAGACGCCGAGCGGGTCGCTGTGCACGTACGAAGAGCCTGGGATGTTGACCAGGTTCGTGCCCACGCGCTTGGGCGCTGCCCAGTCGTCAACGTAGTCCAAGTGCTCTTGGATCTCGTTGAGTATCGCAGACGTCTCCATCACGTAGAGCTCGGTCGCATGCTTGTGGAGGTCCTTCCACACGGCGGCTTGGAGCAGCTCGGCGCCTTCGGTCGTCAGAAGGCGCAGCTGGCGGAGCTGCGCCTTGCGCGCGGCCGTCGACTGGAGCACGCCTGCGCGGAAGGACGCGCGGAGGTCGGCGACGTGGCCAGCGATGGCGTCGGCGGGCGTCGGCCGCAGCAGCGCGGGGTCGGCCGCCTTGGCCAGCGGCGTCTTGAGGTCGTTCATGCTCTGGTACATGCGGCGCAATTCCGAAAATGGATTCCTTCGCCGAAAGCGTTGCGCGTTCTCGCCTGTGATTGGCTACGTACGTCGATACAAATGCCAAGTGGGATGGACCGCGTAAACACTACGCATACACGGATGATGCTGGCTGACGACGTGAACTCATCAACGCCAACGTACTAGTAGTTAGTTAGTAGGAGTTAGTTAGTAGGGAGTCGCCGGAGCAAGGAGCAATGACCCTTGGTCGTAGTTGTGGGCTAATGACCGACTTGGTGACGAGAGCGACAAAGACACATCATTCGCACGCGATGCAAGCGTCGGCGGTCGATCTCACTAGTAAAGATTTCTTTGGTGGAACCGAGGAGCCAAATATCTTGTGCGCGAAAATGCTGAAGCTGGAGGCTTGAACCGGATGCAAGTCCGTAGTGTACCTTCGTCTCTGCAGCCGTGGTTTTGGAAGCGAGAACGCCCAAGGTTCTTTCAATGGCTTCCAAGGGCCACTGTTGGTCGCGCATATTGGAGCGCCAAGATCCCTTGACCTAATCTCGGCAAGAGGGAAAAGCGTTGATGACGGGGGTCACTGAGGTTCTTGGCTTCTGCAGAGGTCGAGTGAGGTTGAAGCTGACGTCAATGACATTCGCGTTCCTCAATGAGGTCATGGACCAATGCTAATCTCAAGAATGACTGTGCTTCGATGCACCCTTAAAAGCACATGAGGGGCGAGGACGAATCGCACACACGAGTGGGAGAAATTGGCGGATGCCACGGCCTCGTGCAGACCTCACGCACCGGTGTCTGCTTCCTCTTGCTCCATGGTTAACGGCGCTGGCAAATGCTTCAGAAGCTGCGAGGTTGCACCTGCTAGTATGCGCTTCGGCTGCAAGTGGCAATCTCTGGGACCAGCTCTGGGACGGCCAACGTCTCGAGCCGAGATCTTTGTCTCAACCAACACTGACACTCTCCGCGTGTCGACGGTGATCGTGCGCTTGCCTCGTCGTGCTGCAACATCCAGGAAGCTATTGCCACAGCCCTCAAGCTCAACACAGGACCACTTTGATTCGAATGTCGTACGTCCAACGCGACGTCAAGCACCTCTCAACGACCAACCTTGCCCGCGTATGGCTACTAGTTCAAGTCACATGGCCCTTCTTGAGCAAGTCGTCGTCCATCAAACTGCTCACAGCTCCACGAAAGGGCTCGTTTTTACGGCCACGCGATCTCCGCCACAGAGAACAAGCACGTCCATCGAATAGAAGCTATCGAAGGAACGGTCGGTGCTCTAGCGTGCTCGGGCAGCAAGACGTTGGGAGATTCAAGCGCTTGCTTGAGACTGCCCATTGTTCTGTGGACGCAGTCCAATCAGCGCGTGATCCGGTCCCATCCTCCCGGTGGCGGCTTGTATTGCCTTAAAGAAGTACTATGCCCAGATTCTCCGTGCAGACACGTACAAGGATGACGCCATCATGCACACGTAATAAGCGAATTTGGGGTTGAAGCCAGGAACCGTTTTGGCAATCTTTCCAAATATACCCAGTCGAAGATTCGCCGCGGCGACGATGCAGAAGGACGCGCTCTCGACGCGCTTCCTCGCGGGCGCCATCGCATCGTCGACGGCCGAGATGGCGACGCTGCCCGTCGACATCACCAAGGTCCGCCTCCAGGCCCAAGGTATGGCGGCGCGCCAGAGCGTCCAGTACACGGGGATGGCCGACGCCATGGCCAAGATCGCGCGACTCGAGGGACCGTCCGCGCTCTGGAAGGGGGCACAGCCGGCCGTCGCGCGGCAAATCGTCTACTCTAGCATGTGCATGGTGCTCTACGAGCCATTCCGCGACGCCATCGTGCGTGCGAGCCAGCCGAAACATGGCGATCGTACAGGCCACACGACCATGTCGTTCGCGCAAAAGCTCATGGCCGGAGGGCTCGCCGGTGCGATTAGCATCAGCATTGCCAACCCGTGCGTCCTGTGGACCATCATGCGAGATGAGCCACTGAACGCCTCGTAGCGTCGACGTCATCAAGGTGCGCATGCAAGCCGACCGGTCGGGGACTCTCTACAAGGGTCTTGTGGACGCTGTCGGCAAGATCCATGGCGCCGAGGGCTGGCGTGGCTTCTTGAACGTACGCCTCTTGCTTCAAATCACATGCCTCGTCCGACATGTCGAGATTAGGGTCTCGGCCCCAACGTTACCCGCGGCTTCATCGTCAACGCCGCCGAGCTGGGCGTGTACGACCAATGGTGCGCACGCTCTCTTTGCAATGCTGGGAAACCACGCTTGCGACGTAGCAAAACAACGTTGATTTCGCTGGGTCTGGTCAAGGAGGGCGGGATTGGCGCGACGTTTGGGTCGAGCCTAGTCGCGGGTCTGGCCGGCGCGCTTGCGTCCAACCCGTACCTCTTGACGATTTTTCAAGGCGTCTCATGTCGTTGTAGAGTCGACGTGGTCAAGACGCGACTCATGACGCAGCCGTCCGGAACCAACGCCTTGTATACGAGCGCGCATCACTGCGCGTACAAGACGTTCTCGGACGAAGGGTTGAAAGCGTTCTACAAGGGCTTCTTGCCCAACTGGATGCGCAAAGCGCCGTGGTGCGTCGTCTTCTTTGTGACGTACGAGCACGCCAAGGGCTCGCTCGTCGTCGCGCCGTCCGTGCCGGCCCCGGCTGTTGTCGGCGCCTCGGTCGTCGTCGCGTCGTCACAAGAGTAGTGGATTGAATCGCGGTTTCTTTTCATTTTCATTTTTCATGTTGCATTCGAAACGCGACAGCTGCACATTCCTAGTTTGCATGACACTATTGTCCATCGCATACAGGACGCTCGGCTGCCGAAGCGTACGATGAATGGGGCCGAAGCGTACGACATGTGCGGACGCTGCAGTATCCGATCGGCGTGACGTGGCAACGCCGCGGCGTCTAAGCCCGAGGCTGCGAACTGCCTAGAGGTATGTACACTGGTCGAACGACGCTTACTCGAGGTTCTCTTGGCTGGACCAGCACGCGAGGTCTTTCATGTACCCAAAAAGGTCTCGTTGGCCGAGTCACCATGCAGTAGGAGCGAGTTGTCGTCACCTTCGCCGACCCAGTAGGCAAATTTTTGTCCGAGATCGATCACATCGAGGGGCTCGCCGTTGAGGAAGACGCACACCTTCTTGCCGCGGGCTTGCACTGCCAAGTGGACCCACGTATGGCGCTGTAGCGTGATGCGCTCGCCACGCAACTCGATCGGGTAGGCCGGCTTCTGGTGGTTGAGCACAAGTTCGACCTGCATGTCACCGGTTATAACCACGCCAAACCAGCGCCAGCCCTTCCCGAGACACCATACCCAGCCTTCCCCGAACGGGCAAATGGTCGCGGCGACGACAAAGTTTGTCTTGGACATTTCGGTCGTAAACGCACCCGCGCACGTGACTTCTGGCCGCGTCTCCTGTGCGCCGTAGTAGTCGCCGTCGAGGAAGAGACCTGCGCGCGGCTCCAAGTAGCTCGTCGATGGCACCAGCAGCGTACGACCTGAAACGCGATCGATCAAATCGGTCTCCAAGGGATAATCGCAGAGCGCTGTGAGGCCGGCAACGAGGTCGTTGCGCTTGGCGATGAACGCGCTGGGCATCGGCGGCGCGTCGTCGTACCGTACATTTGTCGCTGAGAGCAGCGAGAGGTGACGGAGACCACCGCGGAAGAGCCGCGCCTTGTGCGCCGGGTTGTACAAGTAGAACGCCCCTTCGGCCATCGCATTCGTGAGGTGCGAGTACCGAAAGCCCTTGGGCAGCGCAATGTCGTCGAGTCGTTCCGAGTTCAAGGCGACTTGCACCACGTTGGCACGTACGTCGACGTGAACCGCCACGCGAAGCCAGGCGTCGGTCGGCACCGTAATGGCTTCGTTGGCCTTGCTCACGGGGAAGGTGTCGGCGCCGCCGTTAAAGGCAATCTGGAGACCCATCGCGCGCGTGAGCTCCAGCGAAAACCACGTCTTATGCCGCCCGCCCGCCACGACGTAGCCGGGCCCTTGGATCCAGATGCGGACACTCAGAACAAATTTGTGCTTATTGAGCTTGCCGCCAACGGGGCCGAGCGCGAGAAGGTCAGGGCGGTCTTGGAGCTCGGCGAGGTAGCTCCCGGCCAAAATGAGACCGTTCTCGATGCCAATGCAGCTTTTCGGCAGCTCCATGCAATGGTTGGACGACCGGTTGACTGTGTCGTTGGTGAACGGGTAGTCGTAGAGCGTTGTCCACGGCCCGGCGCCTTGGAGCTGCGACACGAGGTCTTGAAACGCCACATCGAGAGGACCATCCTCGATCGTCGCCGGCACGGGCGAGTACGCAATCTTGGGCGCCATTCCGTCGTCGACACACGAAGATGTACGCGTGCTGCTTTCGTCTTTCTCGCCAGCACCAAAGACGGTCTGCGCAAAGCGCTCTGCCAACGGAATCTCCACGGCCCGGCGAACGCGCGCCAGAATATCGTCGTGGCGCATCGCGATCTCGTCGATATCGCTGCTCGTATAGTCGATGATCGCTGCGTCATGGAAGACTGCCCCCACGTCGCCCGTCCAGTTGGCCGTGTGTCTTAGCGCCGGTGCCGGGTCGAGTAGGATTGCAATCACGGGCTTGTGCTGCTTGAGAGCTGCGTTGAACTCGCGCTGGCACTGGCCCCGGTTGCCGCTGCCGCCCACGTCGTCCATGTAGCGCTGGGTCACGAGCACGAGGACGCAGCGGGCATTTGCGAGGCCAGCGTCACGCGCATGATTGGTCTAAGAACAGATATCTCTCTCTGCTGTGGGATAGATGAACTACAGCACTACCTCGGACGCTGCCCACGTCGCGATGCCGCGGTTGGAAAGCGTCTTGCTAATGGCGCTGGCTACGGACGCGTCTTCGGTGGCGTGCGAGACAAAGACGTCGGTGATCGACTGGAAAAGCAGCTGGAGTTTCTCGTGCGAGATGCGCTCGTCTGTCGCTGCTTGGCGCCAAAGTGCATCGTCAAAGAGGTCGCCGCAGAGGGCTTGGCACTGCGCCTTGTCGTACACGGCCGGCGCGATGCTTGCCGCCGCGCCCATGAGTCTGAAAATACCCTCTGACGCAACGACCTACGGTTGCATAACGACTGCCATCGCCGTTCGCTCTTGAATCAAAATGGTGGGAATCGCGAAAATCGCCTTTCTATTCGATTGTCGAAAAAGCTTTTTCCCTGTAAACGTCAAATCGATCAAGTAGCTTGGAGAGGCGTCCTCTTCAGCATCCGAAGTTAGTCGATTGGACTACATTCGTCGTCGATTATACTACATTCGAGATCTACTAACAACACACGCAACACCACACAGGTGTGTTCGGGTTGGAGGCTAGTATCTGCTGGAGTGAGATCCTTCGACTAAAATGGCTGCAGCCGCAGCTAGAAGTACATGCTTTTTAACTAATTGAGTACATCAAGGTTGATCGTTGTGCTTGGAAAACTGTGCAGCGCTTTCTTTCTTGGATTTTGAGATCCATGCGATATCCGGATATATTATCCGGTCGACCGCCCTGTAATTATTCCATGGAACAGAAGCCGAGCAGCACGATGGGCGACGAACGCGATCCGCCGGCCGCCGATGGACAGCCGCCGCTTGGGCACGTTCGCATGGCATCGGAGGTGGATGGAACGCTTGGCGCCGATGCGATCTTGTCGGCCAAGGTGACCCAGGTGTCAGAAGAGACAACGGCTACGACGCCAGAGCCCGTGGCCCACGCCAGCGACGACGACGACGATGACGACACGGACTTTGCCAAGTGGAACCGGGACGAGATCCAGATGGAACTGGCCGACTTGGACGAGTCTGGCGAGCGCATCGAGCGCGTGGCCAACCTCTTCTTGATGTACAACCAGACGGACCAGGACCACGTCTCGGCGCTCTGTGCAACGTGGCTGCGCGAGATGAAGGCGGCCGACACGCATGACCGCATCCCGTTCTTGTACGTCGCGAACCACGTCATTTTCAAGACCAAGACCAGCAAGTCGAGCCCGTCCACGCTCTTTGCCGAGACCTTTCGCCCGCTCTTGCCCGAAGCCGTCTCGCTCGTGTGCACGTCGCCCGCCGACCGGGACACGGTTGTGCGCATTCTCAAGCTCTGGGCCGAGCAGCAACTGTACCCGATGGACGACATTCGCGGGCTCTGGAAAGAGACGGGCGAGCCGCTCCCGCCGTCGTGGTCGGAGACCCACGCCGCGACGCCGACGACCGCGTCTGCGATGGACAACATGTTTGCGACCATGGACGTCGAGCCAGATCTGCCCATGGGGCTCAAGGCACGCGCGGCGCACCCGCTCGTCGATCTCTTGAAGCGCATCGACCACGCCAAGCACATTGTGCATCACCTTGAACCCAAGATCCAAGCCAACCACCAATATGTGCTCCAATCCGCGTCCTCGAACGTCTACGAAAAGCCGCTGATCTCCTTACGACAGAACGCCACCCAGCGTCGCTCCAGGGCAAGGTGGAAGCCTGCATGCAGATGATTGTCATCCGCAACGTACGCCGCTTACTGCATGCGCCGGAAGCTCATGCGTCCTCTTTGTCTGCGTAGAAGTACGTCAAGGAGCTCCTCGACCTCCAGAAACTCGTGCATGTTACCGCGGGCAAGTTGCTCGAGGACCAGGTTCCTGCGACGCGAGTGCGCGCCACGTCGATCTCATGATGCATGTGATGACGATAGAAACAAGCCATGGCCAAGGTGGACACCAAATTCGAGGTACATGCCCGTCGTTCTGCGCGTGATCTCATGCTGCATTGTGCTCTAGCAATGCGACACCATCGACATGGGCCTTGTCGACCTCGACGACCATCGCCGCACGTACGCGGACGAGGTTGGTTGTCATGCGGTCGATTCCATGTGGGATCTGTCATCGTTCTGCGTAGTGGGCGCGCGAAGAGACGCGAGCACGGGAGCGGAAGCGGAAGCGTGACCACGAGATGCAGGCAATGGAAGAAGAGATCACGCGCAAACAGCAAGAAGCGATGGCCGAGAACGCAGCGCGGACACTCGAGCTCGAGGAGGAAGTGCGCTCGCGGCTTCTGGCGACGCAGAAGGAAACCATCACAAAGCAGCTCAAGGTCGAGAAGGCCAAGGACCAAGAATACGTGTGGCACCCGTGCGTCTTCGTTCATGCTACTTGTTGTCTCTCATGCAAGAATGCTGCGAGTAGGGTGCTCCGCGAGCTCGTGCCAGTGCCCAGCATGAGCAACATTGGCGAAGAGTGGCGAGACCACTAGTACTACGCCGGCCACGACGCGCTATCTATCGAAACACGATCTTATCCTTCACAATCCTTCAACCATGCGAGTCCGTGAGTCCGTGGGATTGGCGAAGGTGGTGGTGTCGCCGCTTGCTGCATAGACTTGCAGGTCGTGGCTACTCGTAGCGACCTTTGGCCTCGTGCACCTGGCCCGCATCTTGCAGGATTCACATGGGCATCGCTATGGCATGTCGTCGGCAGGCGGCTGGCGGCGGCTCGTCATGGCCCTTCCTCCATCCATCAGCTGCCATCGCCGCGCTGCCACCTGCCTCGGCGGATCTTCAAAACATATCTGATGCGTGGTTCGTCCGGATACCAAAAAGTTTGGGTATAGTATGTAAATACAAAACTCAAGTACAAGAGGTGCAGCCGTCGAAGCGCCATGTGGTGCGTAACCGGACTGCTTTCATTGCTCTCTTCGCAGAACCCAGGCGTATCTCCCGCGACCGACGGCCCATCATGGACTACGGGACGTCGAACGGTACAAGCGCATGGAGGGCCATCGTGGCCTCATGGCGCCGCCGTAGGCTTCTTCTCGTTTGCATCGGAGCTGGCCAAGCAGCTCACGCAGGATGCCATCGAGCTCTCGGCAACCGCGATGGAGCTCTCGGCGTCGGCAGTCGAGACAGCCAAGTACATTGCACACGAGTCGACTGCCGCCGTCGAGAAGGCGACGCTGCTGGCCCAAGAGGTACGCTTGCGATCACAGCGGCGGGCGTGATACGTAGTGAATGCTAGGCGCTCGCCGAGCACTTTCCCGACGAAGCGCCCGAGGACTCGACCAGCGACGTCGCACCGGACGATCTCGTGACGCTGCTGCCATGGATCAACGAGGTGGGCATGCGCCATGGAATGAACTTTGATTCAAGCCGTGGGTCGTAGGACGGTAGCGTCCATGAGAACGTCCAAGACGACGTTCTCGAGATCAGCTGGGACTTGAACAACTTTAATGTGCTGACGCACGACGAGCTCGCGCCGATTTTCGACATTGACGTGCGCACCCTCTTCCTGTCTCTCTCTTGCTCATGCATGTGTCTAGCGGTACCTCTTGGTCGCGCCGCAGCTGCTCGCATTCGATGCACACCTCCGACAGGTACTCCTGCACCCTTGCCATGCCTACGATTCTTATCGTCGTCTTGGCATGCAGCGCCATTTCGAGTCGGCGCGCAAGATCCCGGAAGATGTGTTTTGGGGCAACTACTTTTACATGTGCCACGTCGCGCGCCTGCGCCATGGCCTCTCGCCGTACGTCGCGTCTGGGCTCAAGCCACTGCCATCATCGCCGCTCTCGTCGACGGCGTCCGAGTCGCTCCTACCGCTGGACCGGTCGTTCTATGACTCTGCGCTCGACTCGCCGGACGCCGGTCGACCAACCTCCGTGTCAATGCCAGAGCTCCTGGAATCAGCCCATGCATCGCCGACGATAGAGGAGACGAAGCGCAAGGCGGGCCTCCACTCGAAGCTCAAGCGCAGCATGTCGTCCTGCAAGGAGCGCCTCGCAGCCACGGACGTGCACAAGTACATGGACAAGGTGGCGCACTTTCGCGCCAAGCACCAGACGTCCAACCAGGCCCAGGACGACGACGGTGACGCGCCCGCGTCGCGCTTCCAACGCTGGTCGCAGACGTCTCGGGACCTCAAGTCGTCCTTACGGCGGCACAGTGTCACGTCGTCATATCTAAAGACTGGGGCGTCCTTGCCGGCATCCGTGTCGTCGGCCGTCCAGAAGCTGCCACGCTGGGTACCGGGCCGTGGGCTTCGAAGCAAGAGCTTGTCGGTCTCCGAGATGCAGCATCTGCGGGACATCCAAGCGCGGCTGTATGCGTCCGACGCTCCGATCCTCGAGTCGCCGCCGCCGCTGAGCGACGAGCTTTGAAAAAAGTGCACCCATTTATAACAAAGTGCCATGAAAAGTCAACCAAGCTGCAATAGATAAAAGAGAAATGGCGTGTTTCTAGCCGGCGACGATCTCGCCATGCTCGTGGAGACGCATGCTCTGCATCCAGCCCGACACACTGGGAATCTGCTCGGGAATGACCACCGTAATCGTAGGGCCGCCGCCATACCAGAGGCAGTAGAACCTCCAGCTGTCCTTGTCAATGAGGCTAGAAAACATCATCCATCTCAATCTCAACGTCAAAAACGACAAGGACAATACCGAAAGTCGTGCTTGAGTTGCAGGTCGCGACGAAGCTCGAGATGCGTGCCCGTGGGACTGTCTTCGACGAGCATCATGTTGCTAATGGCGCTGGGTAGACTCGCGTCCATCGGGCTCGGCGAGGTCACGAATTCCTACGTTGAGACTGGCGTTGAGACCCGAGCCATGGCTTGTGCATGCACGTACGAGCCACGTTTGCACCCATGGGGCAGAGATGACAAACCACGTTTCGCCACGACCTGGGTACCGATTGGCAAAGCGCTTGAGGAGCTTGAGCTCGCGCGCAGGGTCGTGGTCTTCCATGAACGAGCTCGTCGATTGGAGGCTCGAGAGCATCGGTATGTGACTCGCCGATCGAAGCATTGGGATGTGGTTCGGGTTGAAGTCATCTTCAAACGACATGCTCGTTGGCTGGCACTCGCTCGTTGCCATCTGCGATAGCGTGCGTGACCCTGCGAGGACTGCCGACGCGGACGATGGCACGCGCTGCGATGGCTCGAGCTGCGGCGTAACAAACTCACCAGGCGTGTCGGAGGCCACGCGGATGGCGCCGAGCGGGCGGTTGCCCCACCCGCGCTTCTCCATCTCGGATGTTGGCTCGAGCTCGTACCATTCGTTGTCTGCTGGGCGCTATAACGATGCCATGAGCCACAACGCCATACGACAATGGACATACGAGCTTCATGTCGAGGAGGTCGTCTGGCGACAAGACGACTTCGCCAAGCTCGAGGATCTTCATGCCAAACTTGCCCGAGTGCTTGACCGAGAGGACGAGGCCGCCGATGCTCTCGAGCGCGACGACGCCAAAGTCGATGCGCAGGTGCCACATCGGGTTCAAGGTCGCGCGGATGGCCTTGGTCTTGTGCTTCATGCGGCTGCGCCCATCCTTCTCGATGAGGAAGGCCTCGCAGAAGACGTTGTTGTTGCTGCTGAGGCCGTCGATCGGCAGCAGGTTGCGGCAGCCCTTGAGGAGGATCGCCACGCGCGTCGTCTTGTCCCCGCCCATGCCTATCGTCGTCCGAGTGAAAAGACAGCTACGCTGGTCGTCCCACACTGACGGTTTGTATGGCGACAGCAAGCTACTTGGTGTTTGTATGCTGGTGCAATATGTGAAAAACGTGTGAAACGATGCGCGATCTTTAACTTGGCTACAAGCACGCAACTGTGCAGCACGTTGCAGCGACGGCGACCAGCGCACGGTGGTCGATGCGCGCAACCTCTCTCGATGCTGCTGTCGCTACTATTGTTAATGAAAAACGACAAAATAGCTCAAGCCAAGGACCGTTGTCTCGCTATCTCTCAGAGGCCGCCCAAGCCGATGTGGGAGAAGGTTGCGTGCAATTGACGGAAACCGTGTGAAATGAGATACCCACCCATACCCACCTCCAGACCGGGTGTCGATAACAATCCAACGGCGCGCATCGTGCTGACATCGCTCGTCGAAACAAATTGCCATCGCTATTAGTGCCCACCAACGATGGTGACGAAGACTCAGAAGACACCTTATTCTGTGCACAGTCATAGTGCAATGTGGCGAGATTCCACGTTTGGTCTGGATATCCGCTGCGCACGGCCGATGACGATGGAGGTCGAACGTGTGGCGAACCACAGTCGCAGTCCATGAGCTTTGCAGTTGTAGATTGTCGAGGATGAACCATCGATGTCGTTGGAGCCCCACCAAAGGCGCTGTCATCGATGGTCAATGCTGAGAGGAACAGACTACCCAAGGCCACATACTGATTTGGCTCGTTTTCCGAGAAACGGCGTACTAGTACTAGTAGATGCATCAGTCATGATGAAAAGTGACCACGAAGAGCTTGTCGTCGTCGCCGTTTTGCAGTTTGCCATTTGCCATTTGCCATGAAGACGACGCGATCGACGCCCCAGTTTAGCCTCTCGCTGCCCAACCTGACGTTCCGGTCGATGCCCAAGCCCGCTGGCTACCGCATCACGCTAATCAAGACCGAGACCAAAGGTGCCTATGAGCTCTCGCTCGAATCGCTGCGCTCCATGAAGCAGTGGTACCAGCCATGTACCAAGTACACCGATCTTGTCGGCTAACATACGTCGCAGGACGTGCGCGATTGCAAACACCCAATCCGTCAGCGGCGACGAGACGCAGCTTCCACCCGCGATGCTCTTTGACCTTTTGCGCGTGCGGTGTAGACGCGTTGATGCAACTGGTCGACTGTTCTTTGTAGACGATGCTCAAACGTCGCAACGAGCAGCTCAAGCTACTCGAGACGCTGGGCGGTCGCTTGTCCGAGCTCTTTGGAGACTTGGTCCTGCGCGGCACAGCGACGGACGTGGACCTTGTGCCCGGCGACAGCGGCGCCGTCGTGCTCACGCTCACGATTCCTCTCTTGCCTGGTTGGTCGACAACCGTGCGCTATCGGTGCGAAGAAAAGCCTTTTGACAGCCTCAACGCAGTGCGCCGCAAAGTCGAGCACCTCGAGAACGATGTCGAGATACTCGCGACCAAGGTGGACCTGCATATCAGCATCATTGTCCTTGCCATCCTACTTGTACTTGTGGTCGCTGCCGCCCTGAGTCTCAGTGTGACCAAGTTCTAGTGCCGACTTGATGTAAGATCTCAAAATGCACTTCGAGGGCTACAATCAGAACTGCTTCTACTTAAATTAAGGTTATGACGTGGCACGCTCACGCCGTCGAATCGAGTATCCTATCGGATGGGGATGGTGCGGCTTGAAGTTGAACGTCAGGATGGCGCTGCAAGAAGCCACGCCAGAAGCCTTGGCTTGGTCGTGCTTGCGCACATGCTTCGAACGGGTTGGCTCGACCGCGTCGACAAAGCAGCGTCACCATTTCCTCGGCGGCCTCGTGTTTGGTCAAGCGCCGCGTTTCTTGCTTCTGAATCAAGTGCTGGGCCACGAGCTCTTCTTCAAAGCGCGACAGCTTTCGCCGGGCACCCGGGTTGCGATACCGCAGCGACGGCGACTTCATGTGCTGGTGCACGGTCCCGTGCGGTATCGAGTTGAGAGGCAGCTGGTGCGCGCGCTCGATGGCGCGGGCGGCTTGGCGGCAGCCGACGCCGTGCTCCGCCGCGTATCGAACTGCCGCTTGGAGCATCTCTTTTGTGTACAAGGGCGCCTTGGACGCCATGGCGGCGCCGACTGCGCACGCCCTAGTTGAGAGCGTGCTAGCACTCTGGGCGTGGGCGCGGTGCCAGCGCACGAGCGAGAGGAGCTTGGCACGGTCGAGCTCAAATTGCGTGGCGACGTCTGCGATCGGTCGATCTTCGCTGGAAAAGATGGCGTAGGCAGTCGTGTAGGCCGGTGCTAGCGTGCATGGAAGACACTTCCATTGCCGCTGCTGCACTGGAAATGCGAGGTCGATGCACGGGCGCAGCGCGTACACGCAGCTGCACTCCGCGCACGTCGCGAAGCGCCCCATGCGCTATCCACCAGTGATGGCACAGTATCCGGACATCCTTCGTCCCTTGCGTCGGCCATCGCCTGCGGCTAATATCACACAACAATTCGCTGCACTACTTGGTTTCTTGTCAATACGTCATGCGTATTGCTTCGTACGCATGCCAGTAGCGAGAGATGAATATGTGCTCGTTGGGTGCTGCAGTGTCGATCACGTTGAGAGCAGAGTTGCCTATGGTGTGCGACAGAGGTCGGCCAAAGGTGCGTCCGATTAGACACATCGCCTCTCGCGTACGCCGAGCATTTCGACCAATCAAGCACGCGTCTATTGACCTTTCATGGGACTATTGGCCAATCCGAAGCGAGGTCAATCTTCTGTCCGGATAAATTGCGGGAGATGATTTGCGACCCTTTCTCGATGTCATTTTCATTTCTTACCACGTGCTTCCGATGGTCGAGTTGGTCCTGGCAGGCAAGCGCGAGTTCGTGGACGCAGCGCGGGCGACGGCGCTCCTCGCGCCCTTCGAGGCCTCGTCGAGCTTCTACCGCATCTCTCTCCGCGACAAGAGCTACTCGCTCGACGCCGCCAAAGTGCTCGCGACCTTCCTCAAGACCATCCCCGACGGCCTCCGCGTGGCCGACTTGGCCGACATGATTGCAGGCCGCCCCGAAGACGAGGCTCTTGAAGTGCTCGAGACCGTCTGCCAGGCGCTGCATGGCCACCAGCTCGTCGAGATCGACCTGAGCGACAATGCGCTCGGCGAAAAGGGCATCCGCCGCTGCTTTGGCGTCCTCGAGCGCCAGCTGCACCTCGAGCGCCTGTACCTCTGCAACAATGGCCTCTCGGCCGAGTCGGCGCAGGTCGTCGCGGACGTCCTCCTCTTCCGCGGCAAGGACACGCCGTCGACGCTCAAGACGTTCCATTTCTACAACAACATGAGCGGTGACGGCGGTGCCAAGGCGCTCGCGACCCTCCTGCCTGCATGCCAGCACCTCGAAGACCTCCGCTTCTCCACGACGCGCGCGCAGCGGGAGGGCTGCCGCGTCTTTGCTGCCGCGCTCGGCTCGCTCCGGACCCTCAAGCGCGTGGACCTGAGCGACAACACGTTTGGTGCGGAAGGGGCCATCGTGCTCGCGAAGGGCCTCGGTCTCCAGTCGCACCTCGAGGTCCTCAACCTCCGCGACGCCTCGATCGGCGACGATGGCTTGATTGCGATCTCGGAGGCGCTCATTGCCAACATGGTGAGTGGCATCCGCGTCCTCGACGTCTCGGGGAACGACCTCACGGAAGCCTCGATGGCCGCGCTTGCCCGCCTCGTGCAGGCCCTTCCGCAACTCGAAGAGCTCCGCATCGAAGAAAACGAGATCACGTCCTCGGGTGCGCAAGTCCTCGCCCGCGTCCTCCAGAAGAAGGCGGTCGCCAAGCACCTCCGCGTCTTCCAGTCCAACACGAACGAACTTTGCAGCGTCGGCGGCTGGCACTTGGCCAAGGCACTCGCTCCCAAGGCGCAGCTCCGCCGTGTCGAGCTCGACGGCAACATGTTCTCGGACGATGCTGTCGCCAAGATCGAGGCGCAATTCCAAAATGGGATCCTTGTCGAGATGGAAGACAACATGGACGACGAGGACGAGGCGGACGAAGATCTCGACGACGACCTGGACTGGTCCGACGACGAGACCGACTCGGAGCCCGACGCTGGCGTCGACGCCATCACGTCCTCGCTCGCCGCGACCAGCATCGCGACAGGTATGTAATCTCGACTGGATCATGGCCTTAGATTGCGGTCGATAGACGCCAAGCTCCTCTTTGCAGCCAAGCGCGAGGTCGTCAACGCGGCCCGTGCCGCCGAGCTCCTTGCGCCGTACGCTGGCCAGACCCACTTCCACACGATCTCGCTCCGCGGCAAGAGCTACACGATCGACGGCGCGCACGTCATGGCCGCGTTCCTCTCCAAGGTCCAAGGTCTCCAGGTGGCCGACCTCGCCGACATCATCGCCGGGCGCCCCGAAGACGAAGCGCTCCTCGTGCTCTCGGCGATCTGCGAGTCGCTTACGGGACACGTCCTCGACACGATCGACCTCAGCGACAACGCGCTCGGCGAGAAGGGTGTCCGCGCGTGCTTTGCCATTCTGATCCCGCAGCCCAAACTCCAGCACCTCCTCTTTGAGAACAACGGCATCTCGGCGGCCGCGGCGGCCGTCATCGCCAACGAAGTCGTGCTCCAGACGCCGGTCTCGACGCTCAAGACGTTTTCGTTCTTCAACAACATGAGCGGGCACGACGGGTGCCTTGCGATTGCCAAGATGCTGCCCGGGTGCCCGCACCTGACGACGTTCCGCTACGCGAGCGCGCGCGCGGGCTTAGACGCGAGCCAGGAGCTCGCACGCGCGATTGCCGCCAACCTCGTGCACCTCGAGTCGCTGGATCTGAGCGACTGCTCGTTCGACGAGGACGGCGTGAAGGCGCTCACCGCCGCGCTCCGCAAGCAGACCAAGCTCCGCTCGCTCAAGCTCCGCGACGCGTCGCTCGGACCGGACGGCGCCGTGGCGGTTGTGCGCGCACTCGACCATGTGCGCCTGACGTCGCTCGACCTCTCGGGCAACGAGTTGGAGGACGAGGGCATGAGCAACATCGCCAACGGCCCGCACTCGCTCGAGGCCCAGAGTGAACTTGTCGTGCTGCGCCTTGACGAGAACGAGTGCACGAGCAAGGGCCTCGCAGTGTTTGCGGATGAGATTCGCGCGTCGCTGATTCAACTCGAGGAGCTCTCGCTCTGCGGCAACGAAATCACAGCCAGTGGCGCGATCTCGCTCGTCAAGACGGGTCTCGCGACCAAGTCGCACCTCAAGCGCTTGCACTTGGACGCCAACATGATCTCGTCCGCGGGTCTCACCAAGCTCAACGACCTCCTCGCGAGCGTCGGGAAGGTCCACGTGCTGGGCCCGATGGACGAGAACGACGACGAGGCCGAGTCGAGCGACGACGACGACGATGACAATTAGAGAGATCCATGTAAACCAACTCGAATGTACTTGCAACCTACCCCCTTGCGCCTTTCTTGCTGTGGACTCGCATTCGACTAGGAATTAGCTCCGTTTGACTGCCTTGTACTATGAATTGAAAGCAGGACAAGATAACCTCTCGTAAAACCGACAAGATGAACCGGTACGAGATCCTCGACCGGCTCGGCGACGGCGCGTACGGTGAGGTGCTCAAGGCGCGGAGCCTCAAGACGAACGAGGTCGTCGCGATCAAGCGGCTCAAGACGCTCTTCCCGACGTGGGAGGAGTGTCTCCAGCTGCGCGAGCTCAAGTCGCTCAAGGTGCTCCGGCACGACAACATTATCCAGCTCAAGGAGGTTATTCGCGACAAGGCGCAGCTCTACTTCGTCTTCGAGTACATGGACACGAGCCTCTTTAGCTGGATGCGCGGCCACGGACCGGCAACCAGCGAAGCCCAAGTGCGCAACATCATGGCCCAACTCTTCGCCGGCCTTGCGTACATGCACAAGCACGGCTTCTTCCACCGCGACATCAAGCCCGAGAACTGCCTCCTCGCGTCCGACAAGACGACGCTCAAGATTGCGGACCTCGGGCAGGCACGCGAGATCCGGTCGCGACCACCGTTCACCGACTATGTCTCGACGCGCTGGTACCGCAGTCCCGAGCTGCTCCTGCGTGCGTCGACGTACAACTCGCCGATCGACCTCTGGGCGTGCGGCTGCATCATGGCCGAGCTCTATCTGGGCAAGCCGCTCTTCGCAGGCTCGACCGAGGCCGACCAGATGTGTCGCATCTGCTCCGTCCTGGGTACGCCGACAAAGGAGAGCTGGCCCGAGGGCGTGAGCATGGTGGCCCACATGCAGTTCAAGTAACTACCCACTTTAACCAACTCGACGTATGACGCTGCGCGTAGATTTCCGAAATGCAACGCCGTGCCCCTCAAGCAGCTCATTCCGAACGCGAGCCCTGCCGCGATCCAGCTCCTCGTCGACTTGCTCCAGTACGACTCGGGGCGGCGGCCCACGGCGGCGCAAGCGCTGCAGTACCGCTTCTTTAGCCCCGTCACAACGCGCGCAGAGGCAGCACCACGAGAGGTCAAGGTGCCCTCCCCCGAGAAGCCGGAAAAGTCGGAAGTGAAGCGCCGGTTCTGGGAACCCAAGATCGACGACGAGTGGAAGTACATCCCGCAGCCCGAGAAGACCCATTGCAAGCGCGATGTGTCCGTGCCGACAACGGCGACCGACAATGACGACGACGACGGCATCGTCACCGACACGATGCTCCAGGACCTTCTCGACGAAGTGCTCTGTTAAGAGAGCATGTTGCATGCGAATGGCCCGTCGTTGGAGAGGCTGGTGGCATTGAGATGGAGTACGGTCTAGTTGAGTTTCTTGTAGTTTTCAATCATCCATCGCAGCGATGACGCGAGCGTCTTGATGTCGACCTTGTGGAGGGCGCTATTTCAAAGTAAACACATCGATATACGACACGACGGAGACTACCTGAGCGGCACAACACCAAGGTCGGTGGCCTTGCGGAGCCGCTCAAGCTGCTCACCGGCCCCCGGCGCGTCCATTTTGTTGGCTACGATCAGCGACGGCCGCGACGTAATGTTGGGCGCATACAGCTCGAGCTCGTTTTGCAAATGGTGCAAGTCCGAGAGCGGGTCCCGGCCTTCCGTGCCCGCCGTGTCGAGCACATAGAGCAAGATCTGCGCCACGTATCTTATGCACAGACAGGAGAGGTCTTCGCTGCGTACCTTGGTGCGTTCAATGTGGCGTAAAAAGTCATGGCCCAAGCCCACGTTCTTGTGGGCGCCTTCGATGAGGCCCGGGAGATCGGCGACGCTAAAGCGGAACGTATCGGGGAACTCGACAATGCCCACAAACGGATGCAAGGTCGTGAACGGGTATGGCGCGACCTCGGGCGTCGCGCGCGAGAGCGACCGAAGCAGCGTCGACTTGCCCGCGTTCGGGTACCCGACAAGACCAATGTCGGCGATCGTCTTGAGCTCGAGCTCGAGGTACTGCGATGTACCGGGCTTTCCGAGCACCTTGCCTTCCGGCTACGCAAGGGGTGAGCTTCGGGGCCAACGATGGAAAGGAGGACGGACCATGGTCTTGCGAAGACCGCCATATTGCGTCGTCTTGCCCGTGAGAATGCGACTGCCGAGACCCGGCTTGCCGCCGACAGCGACCGTGTAGTTGGTGCCCGGTGTGTCGAGGTCCACCAACGTCTCCTTGCGGTCGACAATCTCGTAGTCGTCCAAGTCGTCGTTCCAGCGCTCGATCTAGCATGCTCGTCACGACGTACTCGCTTCAACCGCGATGTATTGGTACCCGCTCGACCGTCTTGACGATCGTACCCGGTGGCACAGGCACAATGACGTCCTTGCCGCGACGGCCCGCGCGGTCGTTGGCTACACGCAGGTGAGATGACGCTAGAGACCGAGAGAAGTAGCAGGAAGAGGAGCGTACCCATGCCGTTCCAGCCGTCGCCGCCGTTGAAGTGGTGCGTGGGCTTGTACAGGTTCTGAAGACGGGCGTCGACGCGCAAGATGACGTCGCCGCCGCCGCCACCGTGGCCGCCGTTCGGGCGCTTCATGCCCGCGCCTTCGCCTACGAAGACACGACGCATGAGCAACGCCGTCTTTTCATCTAGGACGCAACGTACTCACAAAGCTCGTGCAGCCGTTGCCACCGTGTCCACCCTTGACGCGCAGGCGGATGCGGTCAATGAACTTGCGCTTCGAGTGCTTGCTCCGGCGAATGCTCACCTTGGCCTTGACCTGTTCTTTGACGTTCTTGTTGCCGATGCTGCCAGGCTCTTGCAGCATCGGATCGTCGTCGTCGTCAAAGTCCATCTCGTCGAGGTCGAGGTCGTCGAAGTCGATGCCATCGTCCTCGTCATAGTCATCCTCGTCGTCCTCATCTTCGTCATCTTCGTCATCGCCATGATGGACAGGGCCCTTGGAGAACGGGCGGAGGAGGCGGGCGCGGGGCGCAAGCACCCGCGGTGCCCAAGCGAGCGCGAACCGATTCAGCATCGTGATCGATTGGAGCAGAAATCGAATCCTTCCGGTGGCAATTGCTCAAAACCCACGTTTCACACATGAATCGAATAAATCACGGTGGTTTTCACATACATTTCCCGCCAGGTTGCATAGTTTAGCGCACGGCCGATGACCAGCCGCGACCTCCCGCACGCGTACCAGTACTACGTCCTCGCCGTGACCGGCCAAGCGGCGCCGACGCCCGCCACCAAGGCCTCGAAGCCTGCAGAAGCGGCCTCGAGCTCTGCTCCAGCGGCGGCGCCGACGACGGACGGCGTGCCACGCATGAAGCTCCGCGACCTGACATGGGCCAACAAGGCGACGTTCAACGCGCTCATGGAGAAGCACTCGTTCATCGTACTCACGGACATTGGCAAGCTCAAGAACATGTATCTCGACCTGCGCAGCGAGATGCAAGCCTTCTTCGAGCGCGAAGACGCAGCGAAAGACGCATGCACGTCGTCGTACATCTACCGGAACGAGACCAAGACGCCCATGTGGTACGCAGGCTACGAGCGATCGAGAGTCCGCGAGTGCTTCCGCGTGCACACGGGCGACATGTCGCGGCTGGTGTGGCCGTCGCCCGCCTTCGAGTCGACGTGGCTGGCGATGGTCCGAATTCTTCTGCAGCCGACGTCGCCGTGCTGATCTTGCTCGCTGTAGATCCAAAAGTGCCAAGCTATTTGCGACCAGAGTCTCTCGCTGACGCTGGGCTACCGCGTTCAGCGTAAGGACGAAGGCGAGGATCTCTCTGTCTGCTATGGCTTGCACTACCCCAACAAGGCAGGGACCGGGCAGTCGGACGGCGAAAACGTCTTCGAGCACGTGGACCCGAGCTTGTACGTGATCGAGCCTGTCACCGACGTGCGCGGCCTCGATGTGTTTGACCAAGCGTCGCAGCGCTGGCTCTGCGCCGAAGACGTCTGCGTGCCCCACGAAGAGCTCGTGCTCTTCTGCGGGAAGGCGCTCGCGCGCGCCACCAACGACCGAGTGCCCGGCACACTCCACCGCGTCACGCGCTACGAGTCAACCATGAACATTCCGCGCTACTGCGTCATTTACGAGCAAAAGTATGCCAACTTCTTCTCGTAAGCAACCCAACGTATGAGTTTGTCATCCATTGCCAGCGTGTCCGAGCCGAATTCGCACCGCAGTCGACTCTTTGGACGATGTGTTGCTTCGAGTCGTACAGGTGCGAGCTTCTCGAGGGTCGGCATCGAGAGAGAATCTTGGCGGCTAAGGTACTGCTGGCTTCGTATACGACTGGCACTGCTCAGTGATTGATACTACTTTATGGCACGGCCCGCCACCGGTGCTGTCTTATCCGCGGTGCATGGTCCAACCTGATGGCTCCAAGACACGACTGGAGACTTCTGCCGCCATCGAGATTGTGAAATCGGTGGTAGCTAGCATTGTGGCGCACCTAGCAGTTGGCACCTCCATGACTATACTCCTCTGTGTCGACACTACAGAGTCGTTTTACATGTCGTGTACACTGCTAAGTGTACGCTGATAAGTTGTCCGTCCCATTTTTGAACCTCCTAACCTCTGACTCCGTCACCGTGGTGGCGCCAACACATGTAGTCGGGTTAGGGTACACTTAGGGTTTGGGCTGCGGCGTGATCGTCGAAACGAAGCCGTTGGTCGCACCAAAGTACTTTTTGTTGGCTTCACGCACGCGGTCCGCCGCGGCCGATGGGTTCATGAGCTCAATGCCCTGGACCGGCGTGAACGCAAGGCTCGAGGCGAGGCCCGACGTGTGCTTGTTGGTGTACGTCGCGGCCTTGAGCTTGAGCTTCGTCTGCTTCTGGGCCTTCTTGATGACGCGGAGCGTGCCGCTGCCTTCCGCGCCGAGCCGTCCGGACGTGATGCCCATCGCGTTGTCGCCATACTCGTCGTTGGCCGCGCCAAAATTTTGCCGGTTGATTTCGCGCCGGACGTCGGTCATCTGCGTGCGCTCCTTCATCTTGCGGTAGCGCTTCCCGCCGCGCTTCCGCCGCGGCTTCTCGTCCGGGCGTGGTAGCGCTTTCTTGGTCTTGGCCTTGTTGGGTGCCTGCCACTTTTCAAACTTGTCGAGCAAGTCGACGTAAAACTGCTGGCCGCAGCTGGACGTGCGGTGCGGCTGGCTGTCGACGCGCGCGGCCAGCGCGACTTTACCAGCAACGACGCGGTTCGCCTTCTTCCGGAGGTCGGGCGGCAGGTTCTGGATGAGCTCGCACCCAAAGAGGATCCCCGTGTGGCGCAGCGTCGAGATACTCGAGAAGCCCGCGAGCACGCGCTTTTGCTGGCCGAGCACTTGGATATTACAGGACGGAATGCGGCTGAGCTCGTCAATACCGCCCGCGATACCAATGAGCTGCGCAGTGATGCGCGTGCCAATGAGCGCCGAGAGGTTGGGCGCCAAAAAGTGCATGCGGCTCTCGACAAACTGGAGGATCTTGGCCTTGTCGCTGTCGAGCGTAATGATCTCGTTGCACGTGTCGTGCAGCATCTGCAAGTCGTCGGACGATAGAAGGACGCCTTTGCCCGACGACCCCGTGAGCTGGATGCTCATGACGGTCGCGCTCGGTACGAGGTCCGTGATGTCGACGAGCGTCATGTCCGTCTCATTGGCAATCCGCGACGCGACGCGTGCGTAGTCCAATGGCGCCGGCACGAGCGTCTCGAGGCCCGGGAACTTCTTGCCGTAGAGCTCAATGAGGAAGCGATGCACGATGATGATCTCGTCGTCGATGCGCACCATGAGGTCGTTGGACGCGACAATGAGCTGGTACTCGGCGCCGTCGAGCGCGTGCGTGGCCTGCGACGTGCCCTGGACCAAGTATGCGTCCACAGACTTGATATGCTCACCGTACGAAGCCTTCTTGCGCAGCTGGGCCACGGCGGCGAGGCCTTGGCCCGAGTTGGCGGCGGCGCGCAGGATGGCGTCGACGTCGGCCTCCTTCTTCGCGGCTTCGGCTGCGTCCGCGTCGTCATCGCCCTCGACGCCCATGTCGTCGTCGTCATGGTGGTCGCTCTCGCTACTGCTGCCACTGAGCTCGTCGAGATCTTCGAGGAACGAATCGGCCAGCGAGCTCATCGTCCACGCCACTGTTTGTTTGGTTTGCACCGAATGATGCCCCCTCCCCCCGGGGTCTACCCAAATTTCATTTCGGCACATGCCGAATTGACGTGGCAAGGCGAGACGCCGTTTCAAAAATGGATGATGCGATCGATGCACAAAGCGTCTTTGTGGCACAGACAATATTTGCCAACTCTACCAACCAATAGCGCAAGTAGGACGATCGCACATGCAGGCATACTCTGTAGTCCGATAGAAACCAGAGACGGCTCGCAACCTGCCCAGCTCGGACGGCTGGCGAAACGAGGACGAGTCTCTTGTACGTGTCGTGCATCTGCTGCGGTCTTGGAGACGGACGGGCATGGACCACTAGAGGCTTCTTCTATCGACAACAGTGATCTCTAACCTCGTGGTGCACCTGGCGTAGTGTGAGGTTGGCACGGCTAGTTGTGAGTCCACATAAACGGAAACATGGCATCGTCCTCCGTCGATCTCCGTCATATCGTACCGCGGTACGCGCCCACGTCATCCCCACCGTCATCTCGAAGATGAACAAGCGTCTCGAGGGTCGCCGTCGACAACGAGGGTGGCTATCGTTGTAGCGGTACCTTAAACATAATGCAACCACACACATACGATTTTGCTTAGACAGACGCTGGATCGCTGCGGCTACGGAGCTCGAAGAGCTGAATCTTTGCTTCAGCGTGGCATGCGTCCAGAAGCGGCGACGAGAGACGCGTGACCGTAAAGGTCGGCGCACAGGAGGCCCAGAAGGTCCCGAGGTCGCGCCGCCGCTGCTCAAAGCAGATGAGGATACGCGTTGCTGGCGATGAGAGAGCGCGCAGCGTCTCTTGAAGCGCGTCGAAGTACGTTTCGTTGTACACGACGTCAGCAGCGACAATGTAATCGCATGCACGATGGGCGATGGCCTTGAGGCCCGCGCCGTGTCGACCCCATACGAGCTCGACCGCTTGAATCGCATCGCACTGGGTCGTGTTGGCAGCGATCGCAGCATTCGTGTACGGCAGCACATCGCTCATGTCGGTCGCAACGACGTTAGCGCCAAGACGCGCCGCGATGATACCTAGGACACGTCCGTTGGCAGGCGAAAGGGCCGTCGACGACGACGTACTCGGTAGTGCGGTGCCTGCGCCGAGCTCGACCAGGCGTTTGCCTTTCATCGTGCTAGGAGCTATGCATGAGACGGCGTCGCTAGAGCGCAGCGTACATCGAGCCCAGCGTATCGAGGTAGTGGCTCAGGACAACGCCCGCGTCCCAGACCTATGGCGCATGAGCCATGACCTGTTGCAGCCCTGTCGTACCGTGCCACCGACATGCGCAATGTCCTGGAGGATGACAACGCTACCCGCGGCTGCAAACTGGAAGCGCCGTTCGCGGGCGTACGTCAGGCTCGGATCGAGCGTGCTCAGCTCACGCAGTGCTGTCATCGCTGGATCTTGACGTCGATTAGGATATGTCCTTGTTTTCAAACCGCAACTGCGCGGCAGATGCCGCTTTTAACTGCCAACGGCCACGTGGACCGCGTCGGCCGTATCGAGTATATCTTGCGGTGCTAGACGTTCTCACATTAATGATATCGCGATAGAAAACGCGTCGCTTCAAGTACACTGCTGAAAGGGTACCATCCGTCCCTGTGCGACTAACGAGCGGAACAATGTGGCACATGTGCCGAATTTAAGAACTCGAGGTTTGGCATGGCTTCCAAGGCGTACCGTATCGCCGGCTTGACGCTTGTATCTACGCGCACAATTGTAGCACCTTCGCCTCCTCCTTCCCAACGACTAAACCTTAGCAGGTAGCACCCTCGACTGTCATGGCAAAGCAGTGGAAGTGAACGGAAGTCATGATGTCGAATCTGGGACGATGAGCATGCCGAATTTAACAGAATCTGATTCCAGGACTTTTCCTTCTTCTGGCGACAGAACAATCCGAGAAATCCTTTGACTGCAGCATGCGGGACGTCGGCGGCTTCCCATGCGCGGCTGCCTCCGTCTTGGACGTCTCGCCCGACCTTTGGGCCTGCGCGCTAGAGGATGGCATGCAAGTGCTCCATGGACCGCAGCAGGAGCATGTGGTGCTCACGCCGTCGGCGGACGACGTCGATGGGCTCATGCACGTGGCATCGGCGCCGACCGCCTCCGTCGCCCGCTTTAGCCGCCTCAAGTCGTCTGCCGGCACGTACGATGTGGCGCTCGGCTTTGCGAACGGCTTTGTCCGCGTCTTTGGGCAGTCGGGCGTCGAGCTCTTCGCGCTCCATTGCCACCAGGCGCCGATCCTGCGCCTCGAATGGAGCCACCGCCACAGTACAACCAAGGAGCTATGGGTTCTCTACGACGACAAGACGCTTGCGATCATCGAGTGGGAGTCGGACCCGACGCCAAAGCGGTCCTGGCGCAAGTATACGCTGCAAGGCCAGACCGAGATCCTCGCCGTGCTTCCGTGCGCCGAGACGCGGCCGTCGCTCTTCCAGGTGCATGCGCGCGTCGGCCTCCAGAACGCGCTCGCCGTCGGGTGCGACCCCATCATCGGGTTTTACCAAGCCGGCAACGACGCGTCGTCGATCTTGCACATTGCACACATTGCGTCGGCCGTCGCCACGCGGGCGGCTGGCGCCGTCTGGTCGCTCGCCAAGAGCTGGGGCTGGTCGGCCGAGAAATCGACCGCAACCGACGTTGCACCGACACCGCTCGACGTTGCGTCGGAGCTCGGGCTTCCCAGCACGCTGCGGCAAAAGGCGCGGGCTGCTGTCCTCTCGCCCAACGGCCGCCTCGCGCTCGTCCCAGACTCGCTCGGTCGCATCCTGCTTCTCGATACGTCGACCATGCTCCTCTTGCGGCTCTGGAAAGGGTCGGTCTCCTCTATCTCTATCAAGTAGACGCTATAATGCATGTGGTAGGTACCGCGATGCGCAGGTGGGCTGGATGACGATGGACTCGCCTTCGGACGTTCCGGGGCTCTACATGGTGTTCTATTCGGCGCGACGGGGGTTCGTCGAAGTGTGGCGCGCCCGCCACGGCCCGCGTGTGCTCTGCGTGCCCGTCGGAGTGCACGCGACGCTGCAGCTGTGCACACTCGTGCTGAGCCCGACGCACGCGTCTTGCGTCCTCGTCGTCGAGACCGCGTCCGGCACCTCGCGCGTCCAAGCCGTCGACTTGGACGCGGCGAGCAAGACGTCGATTCTCAAATACTTTAGCATGGTAATGTCGATCGATCGCATCGATGGCTGCTCATGGGATGTACTAGGATCTCCGGCAAGAGGAGGTGTTCCACCTGCACCAACTGCTCGACAGCCTCCACGCGCTTCGGGAGGTGCCTGTCCCAAACGAGAAGACGGTGCAGATTCTTGCCCAGATCCCGCAGCTCACGACGGCCGCCGGTATCGACGCTGTCGTCGACGCGCTGCATACATCGACCATGGCGCACCTCGGCGGTGACTTTCACAGCGATGCCCTTGCCGCCCTCGTGTCGGTACGCGCCACTCGACGTTGTACTTTAGTCGTATGTATCCCCTATGTAGGTTGCGCACTCCGTGGTCCTCGGCGCGAATCCGTCCTTGGAGCAGCTGCGCGCGGTCTTCCTCCTTGAATGGAAGCAGCACATCCTCCGCGCGTACGGGCAGCTGCGCGACGAGGCGACCGCCAGACGATCGGCGCCGTCCTTGTTTGATGACGACCCGGTGCGGGCGACGCTCGAGCAGTGGCAGACGTGCCTCGCGCGCGCACGGACGTCGGCGGCGTCCCCGCTTCCGTCCTCCAATGCACAAGAGCTTTCGTGCCTGGCGTTTCTCGACACCTTTGCACCGCCGCTGCGCAGCACGAGCGAGTCCCCTGAGACCGAGCGCCGTCTGTACCTGTTGCTGCAGCGTAAATTCCGGGGCGACCTGAGCTTTGCCGACTGTTTGGACCAAGTCCACGCGCTCCTGGCGCGTCCTCTGCTTCGGATTGCCAATGTGAAGCGCGGCGCGTGGCTAAGCTTTTGCTTTGGCCCGCTGGAGACGACGGTCTTTGCTGTCACGGTACGCTCTGCGCGTTGCGATCGCGCTGACGTGTTGGTGTCGATACTAGAACGTCATGGCCATTCACTCGGGCCTGCGCCTCAACACAAGCGACATGTCGCTGTACACGGAGATGTTTCTGAACTGGTTCTTTGGTCTCCCGGTGGAAAGGGTCCTCGCGATGACGAGCACGACCGCGTCGTCGCCGCTCCAGCGCTGGCTCGAGCCTTGGATCCACGCCAGCTCGTACCCGCACGTGCTTAAAGACAGCGATGCCTTCACGCTTCCCGGTGCGCGCGGCTCCTGCGTTCCGAAGACTCAATGTTCTGATGGATAGAGCTCTCACCGCCGCTGCGCAGCGTGTTTAACGCGTGTCGGAAAAGCGACAAGCTCGTGCACGTCTACGTCCTCACCCACCACTTGGACGTGGGGACACGTGCGCACGCACAGGCACTACAAGAGTCGACGCTCGGGCAGATTAGCGTCCTCGGCGCGGGCCTGCGCTGGCGGGTCTTGCAGCACTGCCTCCACAAGGTCCTGTACCTCACGTGCCTCCTGCGCCTTCCCGGCAAACTTTCCATCGTACGCACCCTCGCTCGCTGTGCACGAGCAACGGATTGTCATAGGACGCTGTCGAGAGTGTGGACGAGCTGCTGCGGGCGATTGCAATCTGCCAGCTCCAGCAAGCCCCCGACGTACGACCATGATTCGTCCGGCGTTTGTAACTGGTGCGTCTAGGCGGGCGACGCGCCAATCGTGTGCTACGACAGCGGCGAGGCGTGGATGACGGCATGGCAGGCGCAGCTCGAGGCATCCTCGTCACGGCGCCTCGTCGCCTCGGTGCTTCAGAGCTTTCGCCAGCTGCAGCACGCTGACTCTCTCGCTTGCTGCCGGGCCACAGTGCTCTTCTCGGCGTGGAACGCGGACCGGTCGCAAATGTCCTATTTGGAGCTCGCGCTCGACGAAGTCGAGGCGGTGACCGTGCCATCGACCAAGGTCGCGCTGGTGGCGCACGTCTGGGAAACGTATGTCCGGACGCACGTGGCGTCGATCTTGGCCTATTGGGTCGACGTCGCGTCGGGCCGCAGTGTCTCCAAGGGCCTGCAGCCATCGATTGCGCGCCAGTTTCTCCACCTCGTCCGACAGCTCTTGGATCTCGTTGCAGTCGCGACGACGACCTTATCACGTAGTTGCATGTTGCGGACCCACGAATCGTTTTTCATTGCCCTGTAGGGGATTTTCTCGACGACGACGAGGAAGCGCTTTTGACGTCACAGCTCGTCGAGCAGATTGCGTGGACGGGCTCGGACACGGACGTGTTGAGCCTCTTTGGCGCTGCGTGGCCACCTCGGTACACGCATGCGACGCTCGCGACAAGCGTATCGCGCATCGACGGTGTGCCCACAACCAGCGTACAGCTGCACTGCCAGTTGCTCTCGGTCCTTGACGCCTTCTCGGCGGTGCCCGACGCTGCGGTGCCGCTGCAAACGCTCTTTGGTGCGCCACAGCTGCTCTGTGCACCCGACGGCTTGACGACGCCACCGCCGATCGATGCGGCTGGCGCCTCGGCCTTGACAGCCGCGCGGTACCAGGTACCCCATATATTCGATGCGTGCACCAATACCATGGCTCGTAGTTTGTGCTGCGCCTGCTGCAGTCGGATGTCGCGGTCGGCTTTAACGTGGCGACGACGTTTTACCTGCCGCTGGACGCGATCAAGCAAGACCACGCGGTGTTTCTGTACGAGAGTGGCCTCGACAGCCACGCCGAAGAGCTCCTCGGGAAGCTCACGCTGTCGCCCAGCGTCTGCAGGCGCCTCGGGTGCATTGCGCGAACGCGCGTGGCGCTTGTCTTGTCGCGCATGCGCAGTCGCCCCGAGTACGCAGCTTTGATGACCCGCATGCCGGCCGACGTGTGCACGTGGGTGTGCTCGCCGTCCCCGCCGTTCCCGCCCGGTGCGTCGACGGAATCGAGGTAGTAACTGACAGGACTCTACTTGCGTAGACAACGCGGTCATCGAGCGCGACGCAACGCCGTCGATTAGCGCCACGTACTTTTTACTCATGCAGTGTCTGCAGTGGTTTCCAGCGCCGTCGATGGAGCACACCAAGGCGACGGGCATGCTCGGCCTCGTCAAGAGCCTCCTCGACCAGCTCAAGCAGGAACGGCAGACGACGACGGCCGCTGCAAGGATGCGAGGCAACCAGTGATAATGTCATTAGTGGCTTTGTGCTTTCGTGTTGTCTATTGAGTCGAGCGGAAGGAGCTTGGCGATCGTGCAGCATTTTATTCCAAAATTGGAGCGTATGATGGGTCAAAAACAAATATTTCTACCAATCCCGTGCCGTGTTTGCGCCGTGACCGCCCGGCGAGGCAGGGTCGAGGCCAAGTTTCGTCCGAAAAACGAAAACGCTGAAAGCTTGCACACGTGTAGAATGGACTGTAGAGAGCGTGAAATGCTATCCCGCGTCGTCGTGCGAGGCGTACAGCAAGAGATATAGACCCTCGAGTATTTAGATTTGGTATACGCCATAAACAACCACATATTGCCATTTTTAACAAGTCCAGCCGCCGACACCAGGCGAATCCATCGTCGATCACGTTCTGAAAAAAAGTCACGCAAACATAGCACGTTGGTATAGAACACTTTGGAGAGCACAAAACGCTACGCCGCGTCATCGTGCGAGGCCTAGAGCAAAAGTTATGGGCTCTCCCATATTCATTTTTGGTACACGCCATAAGTAGTCATATATTGCCATTTTTAATTGGATCAGCTGCCGATGTGTGGCGCCCGTATCGCCAAACGCGGTCCGAAAATGAAATCCCTCACACTTGCAACAACGATAACAAGCACTTTGAGGAGCACAAAACGCTACGCCGAGTCGTCGTGCGAGGCGTACAACCAGGTAATTATGGCGTAAAACATATATAGCCACAAGTAGCCACGTTTTGTGGCCTCGATCAAGCAACTCCTCTCAGCGTTCATGTGTGAAAGCAAAAACGGACTTTCGCATTGCCCCACGCAAGGTCTCTGATGCTATTATACATCTAGCCCATGAGGCCCGAGTTTCGCAAGCATGCCTCCACATTATATCAGCAAGACTGTCATAGCGACCGAGTATGCGCCCGGTATGTCAAGTCGGCGTGAACGGCCCACCGTATTCATTTCGAGCTCTCGCTCGCTTGCTAGTAAGTACTGTCGATAGGTAGAAAAGCCATACTATAGATATTGTCCACACGAGCCGACATAAATGTACCAAACATTGCGTGCATTTAGCTTAGTGGATCGAAAACTTTTCAAAAAACTTGTGCGGGCCGTGGGTCCACTCAAAGTCGACGTCGAGGAAGCGCGGGTTGAGCGCATTGCGACGCACGGCCCAGGTGCCCGCGATCGCGTCGCCGGCCTTGACGTGGAAGGGCTTGCTCAGGTGGAAGAACGTCTGCTGCCAGTGCGTCGGCGTCGCCTCGCACCCGGTCGAGAACCAGAGCGGCTGCGGCAGCTTGGTCTCGAACCCAATGTCAAACGAGCTCACAAAGCCGTGGAGAAGACCGTCCTTCGCGACGCGCAGCGCAAACGGCTTCTTAAAGTCGAGCGCGGTGAGCGTGACGCTGGGAATGTCGATCGACTCGACGAGGACACGGTCCGTGAGCACATCCTTGGGGTCGACGACCTCGATGAACGCCTCCTGCGTCACGATGCGGTCGCGCACGGCCGTCATGTCAAAGCCGTACACCGTCTTCCAAAAGCCGAGGCGGTTCGTCGAGTCGGTCACGCCTTGCTAAAACATCGATATTGACATGACAACCTGTCCACATTGACAAGAGACGTACGAGAAACATGGTGGCTTGGTCCGGGAAGAGGAGGCCGCCGGGGGCGAGCCACTTGTCGCGCGCAAAGAGCACCGTGTCGAGCATCGACTCGTACAACAGGTTGTAGCCCATCCACTCCGAGATGATGATGTCCACGTGGTCCACGGGCAACTTGACGAGCTCGACCTTGCCGCGGATGATGGAGATAATGTCACCAAAGCCATTGTCCTTGACGATGCGCTGCGCCGTGACGCCCATGTCACTGCAGTCGATGCCAATGACCTTGGCCGCACCGGCTTGCGCGGCAAACATACTCAGAATGCCCGTGCCGCAGCCCACGTCGAGGACGACCTTGCCAGCAAAGAGCGACTTGTTGTTCAAGATCGCGTCGCGGTAGCTGTCCGTGCGCACCTACGTTTGCATCGATTGTCCATGTCCAACACTTGCGTGGCGTCCGTACCTTGTCGGTGATCATTTCCTTGTGGATGCCAACTTGCGAGTACGAGTCAAAGTAGTACGTATCGTTGTCCTGTTCCTTGGGCTCGACCTTGACGGCCTCATCGTCGTCTGCGAGCGCGCGCACGATCGTGTTGTACTGCGCCAACTGCTCCTTGAGACGGTCGACTTCGCTCTGGAGCGCGGCGTTCTGGGCCTCCATCGACGGCGCGGCGGGCGCCTTGGCATCTTTTTCGTCGTCGTCTTCGCTATCGTCGTCGTTGTCGAGGTCCATGACGCGGCAGAGCATCGGGTCTTCGGGAATGACCGGGATGAGCAGCTCTTCGCCCGCAAGGGCGTCGGCGCCGCGGGCCTGAAGCGCGGCGTTGGCGCTGGCCGCGTCGTGCACGCGCGCAAAGTTGATGAGGCGGACCATGCCGTAGAAGTCGAGCGACAGGTTCGACGCGTGGGCGCGGAAGTCAAAGCCGTGGGCCGTGGCCGCGTGGCTGAGGATCGCATGCAGCTGGTTGTGGCCAAAGTCGCAGAAGAAGCACTTCATGGCCTCAT